CTCCGTCCCGGCGCCTCCTTCCGGACGCCGACGTCTCTGTGGGGGCCTGGGGACGCAGCGGGGCCGCAGTCGTGGCTGACGGGGACCTGGGGTACGTGGGAGAGCTGGGGACTCCCGGCCTCCGTCTGTCACCGAAGCGGGCGAGCGCTTTCCGGACTGCACCGAGTCCACAGGACCGTGAAGACGAGCGTTGAGGGCCGTGCCTGCCATGCTCGTCCCCGGCGAGGGTATGTGGGGTGAGGAGTCGGGGTGGGTCGGTAGGTGTGCGTGGCAGAGCCGCTGACCTCCGCTTCCAGGACGAGGCAAGGAAGTGAGCTGACCTCTGACCTCTGCCCCCCCCCTGGCCTTAGCACCACCGCATCGCTGACCCAGGGCAAGCTGTACTCAAGTATCCCACGCAACCGATTTCTCCACACCTCTTCCCCCTACGCCTCCTGGTCTTTATGATAAACCTTCATTGTATCCCCTAAACTGCTCTTCTGAAATAAGAGTCACGTCTTCCCTGTTCCCAATCAAGAAGAGACTCTTAACTTGCTCTGACTCAGGTTTTCTGCACCAGACTCTGGGCTTTATCTACAGTCACCCGGAATGGAGCTTTAACTGGATTCCAGCCAAAAAACACGGTCTGACTCCATTGCAGCCATGGAATACACCTCCAGGACAATGAGAAGTCGCTACTAGAGTTCCAGGTGTGGAGGCAAGAGACCTTTCAGATAGACACATTCTGTGGGCCTCAGCTCACACTCGCTGTACACACTCGCTCACACCTGCCTTCCTGGAGGCCAGAATCTTCCTGAAGCAACAACCAAGAGAAGGAAAACTAGCTATATTAGTCGCATTTGCCTCATTAACCAAAATACCAGAAAAAAACAACTTAAGCCAGGAATTGTCTTTAGTTCGTGCTTTTAGTTCATGGTCACTTGCCCAATGGTTGGGCAAAATGCCACGGGAGAGTAGCAGTGTAGCAGAGAACTGTTTACTCCTTGATGGACAGGAGGCAGAGAGGGACACAGGAATGGGCCAGGGAGGAGAGCCTTCCCAACATCTTGTTCCTTCCAGGGTAGATCTAGCCACCTAAAGTTTCCAGAACCACCAGAAGCAGCACCAGCAGCTGGACACCAAGAGAGTCTGTGAGGACATTTTATATTCAGACTCCAACGATGACTGCCATAAAATTGAGTCTTAGTCTTTGATGATGTTATACCACTCTACAAGCCCTGCTCTGTCTTACCTAAGACTTAGGTCAAATTCCTGTTTAGGCCATGAAGTCTGCACAGCCACCACCTCTCAGTCCCTCAGACCCCATCACTGAGACGTTTGACTCAAGCTTCTGAGAATCCTCTATAAAATCATTCGTAAGCTGTGCGCACACCTCCCTTGACACTGTGAAATGCATATTATTACTGAAAGGTACATTAATAGTTATTAATATAATGTATTTCACAACGATATCATTATTTCCAGTAGAGTCCATCAAAGATTCACTAGCATGGACAAATGTAAAACTTTGTAATAACCAGGAAAACAATTGAAATAAGCCAGAACCTGAAGTGGAGCTATGGCTCAAGTGATAGAGTGCTAGACGTGAGACGGAAAAAAAAAAAAAAGGCCCTCTGTACATCACCTTTATAATAGATTTTTTTTAATTTTAAATCATCCTGAACAAATATAATTTATTTTCTTCAAAGGTTATCTTTGGTATATCTAGTATTTATATTCCCATATATAAAGGGATTGTATTGCGGGGGAAAAAAGCTCAGGGACAGTGCCAAAGGCCTGTAGTTCATTCCCTAGGACTGGCACACACACACACACACACACACACACACACACACACACACACACAAATAGATTGCAGTTTCATTTTTAAAATTAAAAATCAACTGCTTGCTACAGATTTTTTTCATAATTATTTTTACACAAAATGTGGAGTGCCTTCCAAGAATCCAAAATATCTTTTATGATGTTGGTTAGCATACTTTAGTTTATTCACTTGTTTGGTTAGCTGCTGCCTTGCAATGAAAGACTTAAGTGATGATCTTGCACTGCAAGTGTCAGGGTGATGTAGGCCATCTGTCTCCTGATTGCTTCCATTTCCACTTTGGCCATTCTTGTCAAGTTTTACAGATTCTGTCACAAAGCAGCTAATCAAGTTTCAATCAAGTGTATTGTTTTCACAAAAAGAAAAAAGAAAACCAACTCTGGAAACCAATGACGATCAGTTCATTTCAATGCTGTTCTTTTAAAATTTTAATTGGTCCCAGATGTTTGATTATAAAACATGCTGTTGAAAATGGAGGGAAGAAATGATGCAATGCTGTGTGTCTATAGTTCCAGTTTCTTAGAACACTTGACAGGAGGATCACTTGAGTTCTGAAGTTTAAAAGCAGATTAGGCAACATAGCAAGACTCCATCTCAAAAATAAAGAAGAAAACCACACACATTAAATGATAAGAATATGTTTTAGGTGGAGTGTCCTCTAATGAATTCTTAGAATAGCCCCAAGACATATTGGGGACACAGAAGCTCAGGTAAATGCCTTGCACAAAGTCACCCACTAATTGAGTTTCAAATAGAGTTCTGATTCCAGCGTTACATATATTCTTCCCATTATACTGAACTTGCTTGTTTGAATATAGGCATGGATGACAAGGCACATTTTAGAGAAAAAAAAATTCCAGAAACAATATTGTAGAAATCATCTAGATCAAGCTTCCAAATGTTTCCAGAATCTTGCCCCATATTTCTGCAAGGCCTTGAAGTCAGCCTTGGCTTAAATCTTTGTGTGAAGGTGGAGCACCTTGGCTTTCATTGCAGCCACAGTTGTTCTAAGTGAGTTGAAGCCTGCATCACTGTCATTTCTCATAAGGTCAGCTCTTCCCCTCTTGATCAATCCAGATGTGTTTACTTTTGTAGGGGGCAGTATCTAGGATAGAACCCAGGGCCTTGTGAATGTAAGGCAAGCCCTTTACCTTTACTGAGCTAAGTATGTTTGCTCTTCTTCCACATACCAGCCCTTCAAATTGATCATTATTAAATGTTTTCTATGTCATCTCCAGACTACACAAGCCAAGACACTTCAACCATCCTCCGTAAGAATCATCTCCAGACACCTCAGAAGAGTGAACACACTGGCTTGTAATGCCTCATACAGTTGGGTGAGCACAGGGAGCATAGTATAGACCTGTTAGGAGTTCCTGAGCATAGCCAGAAGGACACTCTGTATTCTCATCCATTTCTTTATTGACAGAATCTTGCATAGGCTATTTCAGAAGTTGTGTTTCCTGCTTTTCAGTGACTGCCTTTCTAGACAGCACTTGAAGAGTGACCTTGGGATTAAGACAGGAGTCTCGAAATTCTCTGATGACTCACTCAGCCTGTAGGTACTGTATGGTTTGGAGCCATTCTGCTTTGCACCTCTGTTGGCAATGCAGTCAGAATTTCAGCTGACATCTAGTCATCCAAAGACTCAGCTGGGCCTGGAGGATGGGCTCTTGGTGGCTCACTCACTGGCTAGCAAACTGGTACCAACTGCTGTTATGAAATCGCCATTCCTCCCACATGGGCATCTTCACAGGATGGTCTGAGTGTTCTTCAACTGTGGTGGCTGGATTCTCCACAAATGAGAGCTCCAAGGAAGCAATGCAGAAGCCACATAAATACACCTGTGATGACAAACTGTCAGGTAGAACATGGTCTGTGTGGTCACATGGTCTAGTCCTGAGTCAAGGTAGGTAGGTAGATGGTACCTGTGGACAAGAATAGCAGACAGTATGGTACAGATCTCTGGTCTCACCCTGGAGATAAGCAAGCCTACCTGACTAAAGCACAGGAGGTCTTATTGGATACTCCTCTGAATACAACCATCCAAGTGTAAACCACAATCACAATATCACAGTTGTTTTGTAATCACTTGCCCTTCCACAAGCATTCAGCTTCTCTTTGCACAAAAGAGTATTTCATTAATTTCCTACTCCCAAATTTACAACTACTGGGTATATGTCTAAGTGTTACCTTTGCTGGTACCAAGCAAATGTACTTGAATGGCATTTAGAGATAGTACATTTACTACCCTACATTCAAACATGCCTGGGGACCTGCTGTTGGTCTAACTTGAGAGCAGAGCGTTCTTAATATGGCTTTGGGGAAGAAATCCAAAATGTGTGGACTTCTGAATTGTCTACACGGCTGTCTACAGGTGT